GTGGGTGTGGAAGCGAAGACGGAAGAAAATAAACGTGAGAAGAAAGGAACAAAAGAAAAAAAATTATCAACATCACGAATTTTTTTTTTTTTTTATGAAATCTTTTTTTTTCCTTTTTTTGCTTTGCTTTTTTCTTTCTTTTCTTTCGTTTTATGCAAGCGTTCGCAAACGAGAGACGGATATGCGGTGCGACGGGAATACAGCCGTGTCTTTGCGAAGGGTTGTGCGTGTGCGTGTGCGTGTGTACCGTGCGTGGCGCTGTAGAGATGGCGCTCTTGTGTTGAAATATCTCCTCTGAGAAAATGAGCGAGGAACAACACCCAAAAAATGGAAAAAAACAACAACAACGACAACTGAATAGTAATTCCTGTTTGATATAGATATTACCTAAGAGAATACTCTCCCAAAAAGGTACACAGCTAAATGTACCGGTGACGCAGTGTCTATCCGCCAGTGCCAGAGACAGTGCCAGTGCCAAGCCATAATATATATAGATATATTATCCGCAAGTTCATACAAGCAATTTACCGGAGTGTGTATTTTAAGTCCTGGAAATGACAGACAGACACCGAAAAGGCAGATAACCGTTAAAAGGAGTAGGTCGTAGCCAGTGCTGTAGTCGGCGACGGTGCCAGTGATCGAGGAGAGAGTGCCAAGCCAGTGCCAAGTACCCAGGATTCTCCAACAGGCTGCCGGGAGTGTCAGTCATGGTTTCGTAAACATTGCAGGGGTTTCCTTACAACTCTAAGCACGCTGGTAGGACGCCGTGCCTGTCCTAAAGATTCCTTTTTTCTTCCTTCTTGAGGTAAAAAAACAAACAAACAAACAAAAAAACGGAGTAAAGAAGTATTCTTCCTTCTTGAGGTAAAAAAGAAAAGAAAAACAAGTAAAGAAGTATGATTTTTTATTATTATTATTGTTATTATTATTATCATTATTATTATTATTATTATTATTATCATTATTATTATTGTTGATGTTGTTATTATTATTATTATTATCATTATTAGTGATTTTAATATTATTATTACTATTATTATCATTATTATTGTTATTATTATTATTTTCACATCATTATTATTATCATCATTATCGCTGTTATCATTGCTTCTGTTGCTTCACTTCACCTCCAGACTTTCAGTTTAATAGTTTCTCCCTCGGGTTTCTTTCTATATTTCTTTCTTTCTCTTTTTCTCTATCTTCTGTTTCAAGTAATGAAGAGACTATTATTGCCTCATTTCCCTCACTTCACCTCATGACATTCAGCGGAAGTAATAATGAGTTCTCTCTCTTCTTTCTTTCTTTCTTTCCCTTTCTCTATCTTCTATTTCATACTCATTCGGCAATTCATTCATTTCCAAGATAAGAGTTTCATGCATATTAATTACCAATACTCTTAATTGGATTAAACGTTCAATTAGTGTTTATTCGAGAAACATGACTTGAATATGCTGGAATGATTTTGATTAATGAGTGACACGCCACTCTTGATTTCATAATTTTGTGCGTTGGAGAGAAATCATTAATTATGTTATTAGTGATTTTCATTGTCATTGCAGGAAATCATTAATTATGTTATTAGTGATTTTCATTGACATTGCAGGCTGTGTATAACATGACAGGGAAAAGAGACATGATTCAGTTTTTTTTCATGTTTGTTTATTTTTCAGTGTTATTATAGTCAGTATTATAACTACTGTTCTTTTATATTGTTATTACGTGTTTTTGTTCATGTTCTTGTTAGGGGTGGTTCACAGTTTTTCAACATTTTCAACAAGTGGACGAAAAACATATATATATATATATATTTTTATCTCTCTCTCTTTTGGATAACCCCCCCCCCTCCCTCCCCTCACCCCCTCCCTCAAAAAACGTACGCAAAATGATGAGATTCACGAAGGAGATTCAATGGTCGATATTTTTATTTGTTTGTTTATTTATTTTTACGTATACCAGTCCATGACCCCCCCCCCCCCCCAGCAACAAACGGTTCGTAAGATTATGAAATTGTTAAAAAAATGTGAACCCTTTCATACATTATTAGCGCTAACGTTATTTTTTCTACTGATGATAATAATAATAGCATTATCATTGTACATTATAATTTCCGTCATTATGATTATCTTCATTGTTATTGACATCTTTGTCATTATCATTATCACCACTATTATTATTGCTTATTATTGTTATCATTATTATCATTATCATTATTATTATTATTTCATTATCATCATTATTATCATATTATTATTATTATATTATTATTATTATTATATATTTATTATTATTATTTATTATTATTATTATTATTATTATTTATTATTATTATTATTATCATTATTATTATTATTATTACTATCATCATTATCATTATCATAATCATTATTGTGACTATTCTTGTTCTTGTTGTTGCTGTTGCTGTCATTATCACTTTTATTATTATCATTATTATCATCATCATTATCATTATCTTATTATATTTTCACTATTATTGCCTTCATCATTATCATTATTGTTATAATTATTCTTACCATCCGTATCAGTTATTATTTCCATTATTGTTATTATTATTATTATTATTATTATCATTATTATGATTATCATTATCATTATCATTATTAATATTTTTATTATTATTGCTATCATTATTATCATTATCATCATCATTATTATTATTATTAACTAGTATCCTTGTTATTATTAGTATTGATATTATCATTGTTATTGTTAATATTATTATTATCATCATAAAAATAATAATTATTATTATCATCATCATTATTATCATTGTTATTATTATTATTATTATCATTATTATTATTATTATTATTATTATTATTATTATTATTATTATTATTATTATTATTATCATCATTATTATCAATATCATTATTATCATTATTATCATTATCATTGTTATTGTTAATATTATTACTAATACCATTATCATTATTACTATTGTTATTTCTGTCATTATTGCTATTTTCATTATTATTGTTTATCAATCTATTGCTATCATAAAGATTATCATTATCATTCTTATTGTTATTATTATTATTGTTGTTGTTTCTGTTATTATCATCATTATTATCATTATCATTAATATCAATGTTGTCAGTTTCCCTATTATTGTCCTTATTATTATTACCATCATTGCTATTATTTTCATAATTATTATCATTATCCGTATCATTATTATCATTATTATTATTATCATTATCATTATCATCATTATTGTTTATTATTATTATTATTATCATCATTATCAACAATATTGTTATTTTCATCATCATTGTTATTTTAATATAATAAATTATTTATTACTATTATTATCATTATTATCATTATTATTGATATTATATTTTTTTATCATCATCTTTATCATTATCATCATCATCATCATGAGTATCATTACAGTTACTTTTAATGTCATTATTAACATCAATATTGTTATTATTATTATCATTATCATTATCATTATTATCATCGTCGTTGTTGTTGTTGTTATTATTATCGTCTTTTTATTTTATAATTATTTTCATTATTATCATTACAATAATTGATGTTATTGTTCATATTACTATTATCAGTATCATCATCATTGTTACTTTTATATCATTATATCATTATCATCACCATTATTGTTAACGTTATTATTTTATCAAAATCATTATTATTATTATCATCATCACCATTATCATTGTCATTATCATTATTATTTTATTATTATTGTCATTGTTATTATTATTATCATTATCATTATTATTATTACTATTATTATTATTATTATCAATATTACTATCATTATTATCATTACTATTCTATTATCATTATTGTTATTATCATTATCATTATCATTATTATCATTGTGGTTGTTTATTGTTTTTACTATCAGTAGTTATTGTAGTATCAGCAGTAGTATCATTATCATCATCATTATTGTTATTATTATCTTTGTTATCATTATTACTTTTACTATCACCATAATTATTTTTAATAATATTATTGTTATCTTTATTCCTATTAAGATCTTCATCATCATTATTATCATCAGTATCATTTTATGTTGTTACTAGTTTTATCATGATTAGTTTTAACATCAGTATTACCATTATGATTATTATTGACATTATAATTAATATTGTTATCATTATGATGAAGATGATGACGAAATCTATTATTAATTTTAATTGTATTATTATCGTTATCTCTATCCTTATGATTCTTATCATGAACATTATGATTCTTTTATTGTTAATAATTAATTTTCATCATTATAATTATTATCGTTATTATCACTATTGTTATTATTTTCCTTATTTTGTGATCATCATTATTATGATCATTATCATTGTCATCATTATCATTATTGTTGTTATCATTGTTATTGCTATTATTGGTATTATCATTATTGACTATTGTTATCATTATTATCATATCTATTTATCATTAATACCATTAGATTTTATTATCATTATTGTTATCATAAGTATCATTATCACATCATTATCATTGTATCATTGTCATCATCATTATGGTTATTAATATCATAATTTTTTTCTCCATTGATTATGTTATTGTTTATTATCATTATTATTATTAGCTATTAATCATTATATCTCATATTTTTCTATTGTTATAATCATCAATAGAATTCATTAGTATTTTATATCATTAATCATTAAATTATTATTATTATCATCATCATCATCATCATCATCATCATCATCATCATCATCAATCATCATCATCATCATCATATCATCAATTATCATATTGTCTATCCATATAGTCCTATCAATTGTTCTATATAATCATTGTCATTATTATAATCTTTATTGATTATTATTGCTATCATTATTATCACTGTTTTTCTTGATTCAATATCATTATTGTTCTTATAATAGTATTGGTATTAATATTGTTATAACTATCGTAATCATTATCATCATTATTATTATCATGACTACTATTCATTATTAATTTTCTTAATGTTATCA